ACGGACGCTTCTCTCATTCGCTAATTGTCTAGGTTTCGTTTTTACGGGTTTCGGAGCACGATGTCGCCGCGGAGGGGTTTGTTGTCGCCGCGCGTGGGGGTCGGCGCGGGGTCAAGTTTTGAGGAATTTGCCATGGGTTGCGTCGGGATGGTTGTGGTGGGGGGGGGGCGCCACGGTGGCGAGATGTTAACTACCTTGCCTGGTGTACAGGAGTTCGCGGGTTCGATCCCAACCCTGACGCCTGTTGTATATTTGGAGTTTGCGTGTTTTCCCCGTGGTCGTGTGTGTTTTTCTCCAGGTCCTCCGGTTTTTCCTTCTGCATTTAGAATCATGCGGTTAGAGTGTTTGGCTGCTATACATTTCCACATGATGAGCCACTTCATTGAGCTATCATTTGTGGCCAGGTCGCTTCTGAAAAAGAGCTTTTATAGCTCAGTGGGCCTTACCTGGTAAAATACAAAAATTGTTTAGTTTCTAGTTTTTTATTTTGTGTGTTGGAGTTCCACATACATGCATTCATATTGACTATTTCCACTGGCATATCCGAGCCGCGCCTGTGCCGGGCCAGCCTGTTGCATGTCAGCAGTGCCGCAGCGTAGGATGTCAAGACGCATGTAGATGATGTTGGTGGTGACGCACACGTAGTGTTGTCAGCGACAGCCTCCTCGGGTCGGACACGCACAGTGGCAACACGAGAGGCTGGCGTAATGCTCGTGGCCAGGCTGTCCGATCGCTCGGCAACCAATTCGTCGATTTTGCATTGCTAGGAAATGCAGTTGTGTGCAATATGTCCCAAGCCTTGCAACGTGCCACCAGATGATTGACAAAGCACACGAGGTCATGAGCCATTCATTATCGGCCATGGTCAATCCACCGCTGGATGAAGGTCGCCTTCCCAAGCTGCCACCGAGTAGTTTCATGCGTGTCAGTGATCGCATATCTTTAGAAATCATCGCACTCCGAGGGCGAGGCACGCAAACCACTGTCCATGTTAGTTGTCGGTTCGAATAGCTATCGGCTCATTGCGTACAAGAGCCCAGTTCATCGCAGGTGGCCGGAGCCTGAACTCAAGCCACCGACCTCAGCGGTGTTCCTCTCTCCACTGTGACATGGCCACCATGAGGCCGCTTCGTCACCGGCAGCGTGGTGCCTTGATCGGGGTGTTCCACTCACAATCAGGTCACAAGTTCAAATCTTGGTCAGGAATCATCCCAGCCCATTATCCCTACGTGGACACTAACATACGTGAGCAGAGGGTCATCCTACGGACAGATTGGCCCTGTCATGATAATGTGGAATGTGTCTTCCCCAACACTGCCTCACTTGAGCCGGGAGACCAAAGGCCAGCAGTCATGTCCAAAGATCTTCACCGTGTCCACTCTGCTGCGGTGGACGGTGATCTTCGGCCGGAATGTCCCCGCGAACAATTCTGAATGTCCATCGCTTGGCGATGTAGGCCTCCGCGGTTGTTCCTTGGCTGGTAGGGCCGGCGCGTTGGGGCTGGGCAGCGTGGGTGGTGGGGGGGTGCGCTCGGAGGAGTGGGCTGGCAGCCCGGGCTCCGTGATGAAATACTGCGGCGGGCGGATAATTGTGCGCTAATGCGCGAGGCTGCACTTATTACCCGCACCCGTGTCATTAGGGCCCGGGGCGCGGAGAGAGCGGTTGGTGACGCGCGTGCAGAGAGAGAGAGAGCGATGGAGAGCATGGGCAAGAGAGAGGGAGAGAGTGCGAGCGTGCGAAGGGAGGAAAATGGATTTGGCGCCGGTGCTCCATGCATCATAACGACACCGAGTTGTGCTTTTAAATGCAATACGATACAACTTGGATGTGGAGCATCTCAATGTGACCGTGTGCCGAGACGGGTTGCACACGACTGGAGTGCAGCGCTTTGCAGGGTGAGATTGGTGGATCATGTGGAGAGCACCGTGTGTTGTGGTTTCTGAGTGATGGGTGCGCCTTCATGTGCTTGCGGGTTTTCCACTGTGTACCTTCGACACACCAAGAACACGAACAAAGGCGTTGCCCAACATTCCTAAGCAGGACCCTGCCAAAAAGGAATTTTGCGATGCTTTGCTTTGCCAGATTAAGGACAGTGTTACCTGAGATTCTTTACCAGGATTGGAGATGTGGATGTGAGCGCGAGCAGGGGGAATCCGGACAGGGAAGGGGGAAGGATTTTCATCTTAATGGAGAGTTTTTTAAGTTGAGTTGGGCCGGCACACGGGAAGAAACGAAAGGATGACGCAGTCCGGATGAGAATGAAATGAACGTTCGGGGAAAAAAGTTTTGATTGCAGGCAGAGGAGAAGAGGAGCCCGGAATGGAGGGCGATGTTTTATATTGAATCACTTTGGGCAGGGGTAGGGAGTCTGCCGCGTAGCCGGGGGAAATGAGTCCCAGACGCTCGCCCTCCTGCTGCCCTCCATCATCGGCAGCAGAAGAGAAGAGGCGACCTCCCATCGTGCCGAGGTTGTCTGGGATGCCGACGGGAGGGCGCGGGGGAGGGGGAGCCGCAGCGCGCGATGTTCTATATTTAACGTTAATTTTATGTTTCGTTTTATACCGTGAAGGCGCGTGGCGCTGGGCGGTATTTGTGGATCGTCGGCCGTTTGGCAGCAGCAGCAGCAGCAGCAGCCCCCGGGTTCACCTGCGTGTCAAGACAGCCCCGGCACTGCACCAGCCGCGGCCCGGCGTTGCCGATTAATGAAATTACTTCTGATGCGGCTAATTATTTCGCCCGGGCTTTTAATTAGCTCCCGACCAAGCTCATTACGGCCCTGCCAAATTCCATTATTCCGGCGACAGCTTTATTAGTTTGCGCGCGCGCGCGCTCACTCGCCCGCTCGCTCCCCTCCATCATCGCCCGAGCCCTGCCGATACGAGAGAAAGCTCATTATTCTGGCAGGTAAATTGCGCTGTCAAGGGACTAATTGGTAGCGCCGCTCGGCTGGACTGACTGCTGGACCAGCGGGATTTTTAACATGATAATCATTCACGCGTTATCTTGTTGGACGAACAAATGCTCCCAGGACTTGGGCTTCCCAACCAAGCGTTACTGACGAACGCTTCTCGCTCTGGCCCGCTGTGCCCGTGCCACGGCCACCGTGGCCCGTTTGGCGAGAGGAGGTGGGCGCCAGATTAAGAGGGGGAGACGCAACGCGAAAAGCGGACAGCTGTTATTTTGTGGTAAATACCCGGCTTGCGCGATTCACAGGCTGTCGAGCGCGAGTGGGGAAACTTCCCTCATGAGGAGTAGCGCCGAGGGTTACGGATCTTCAGGGGCGCCGCTGCAGCCCCCTTTCATGATGTCTCGGGCTGCACCGGAGCCCCCCCCCCCCGCCCCCCCCCTCCCTCCCCTCCCCGATCACCCTCGACCTCCCAGCCACGTCGCCCTGGCCATGTCGTCGCGTGGTGCATTCTGGGAGCAGCTGCCTTCCGTTCGTCCATGGAGCCCAGTGCACAGAGGGGAATTTGAAACCATTCCGAACAGAGATCACCGTCCACCACAGCAGAGTGGACATTCAAGATCTCTGGACACGGCTGCTGGCTTTTCGTCTCCCGGCTCAAATGAGCATTGGGCAGTTATGGTAGCACTCGTTATCCCGGAGCTGGGATTTAAGAGATGCATTGGCTGGTTTATGTTTTTTTATTATTTTACAGAAGCAAATTCTTAGCTGCCAAGTATGTCGATGATAATTATGTAGATTGTGGCTGCGTTGTCTCTCCCTTTGAAGAAGAGGTGCCATTGGTGCACGGCTTGGGGGGAATCCCAGGGCACATTGCAAGCTGTGACCCCGCGGGGAGCATTGCGTGTGCGGGACTGGAAGGGGTCAACGCAAAGACTGGAATGTTTCCTGCGAGCTCTTGCAGCCAGCATCACCGTCCCCTCCACCCAAAAACTACTCTACAGTACTGGGTTTGGGACAAACGTTTGCCATGGACCCTTAACCTCGGCCTAACGCTTGCGTAGTGGCTCAACAGTCAAGCGAGATTTTGGTCGGAGGTTGACATCGTGCTTCCAGGGTCGATAAAATAGGTAACGCTTTGTAGGCAAATTAACAGGAGTCCTATGGATAGACTCACCCCTTCCATAGGAATGTGGGATTTCCACCACTGGCGCTGCAGGGATCTAAACAGGAGATGAGCACCACTTGAATGCTCATGTGATCAGGACATCACCCAAGGACTGTGTAGGTGGGTGAGTGCACTTGTGACTTTAGTGGCATCGTGGTTCCCACACTGCCCCAAAATCTCACCGACGTGGGTTCAATCTCTTGCCATAATACGCAGCGTGAGAGCGGTGGCACTTTCACCCTGGTCTGGACCTCATCTAGATCAACTCGGCTTTAAACGAGCACTTCGTGTTGTGCGTTAACTTGAACACCGGGGAGATGAAGGTGGGCGGGTGGGCGTGGTGCTGACCTCACTAAACTATTGGGTGTAGGGTCAACCTTAATAAAAACCTAAACTAATTTTAATTTGACCAGGTAAGGCTCACTGAGCTATATATATAGCTCTTTTTCAGAAGCGATCTGTCCACAAATGATAGCTCAACGAAGTGTCCTTATCATGTGAAAATGTATCGCACCTCACTATTCACTATTTTCCACTGGCATATCCGATTTGCGCTGGGGCTATGCCGGCCAATGCCGGGCCAGCCTGCTGTGGGTTAGCAGTGCCTCTGACCTCTCCCACGCAACGTAGATGATGACGGTGACGCGCACTCTGGCCGACGGATACACAACACACAACACACACTTCATCAGCGCTCCGTGGTTTTGACTCAGTAGATGCCATTATATCGATCTTCTTTAGGTGCTATGATGTCAGACGCATTGAACGCGCGCCATTATCCCCTCCCCTGGACCTGCTTGGCCCCGAGCCAAGCAGGTCCGCGGTGCGATTCTTGCTCGGCCCGGATGTGCCAATAGAGAAACTAAGGTGGTAGATGAGGCTAAACATGAGATCTTTGTTTTGGTGTGCGTGTTCGTGTGCGTGCAGGAGTGCGTGCGGAGAAGGATGGATCTGTACATATACCCCACGGTGCCCTTCGTCTGTCATTACGACAGCCCTCACGAATTCCACCTCAGGGAGAAGAGATTGCAGAGGATAGCCAGAGGTGCCTCTTCAGTGTCGGGTTCTTACCCGCGAGCACGTGTGCATTTCACCAAGCGTCGCTACAGCAGGGCTCTTCAACGATATTTTCCATCGGGCCACGTAATAAAATTTGCCGAGGCCGTGATCGACACCGGGGTGCCGCGGTGGCGAGACGCTAACTACCTCGCCTGGTATACAGGAGGTCAAGGGTTCAATCCTGACCCTGACGCCTGTTGTATATTTGGAGTTTGTATGTTCTCCCCGTGGTCGCGTGGATTTTTCTTTTGGTCCTCAGATTTTTCCCCCCACACTTAGAAACAGAGTATTTGGCTGCTAGAAATTTCCACGTGATAAGCCACTTCATTGGGTTATCATTTGTGGCCAGGTCGCTTCTGAAAAAGATTTATATATCTCAGTGGGCTCTACCGAGCTATCATCGCCACTCCCCGCACTGGCTGGTGCCGAGTCACCTTGTGCCGAAAAGGGGCAGCTTCCAATGGGAATGCCCTTGAGAACGCTTTAAATGGGATGTGATGTACGGCTCTCGTGTGTTGCCGAGGCAGCCATGTAAATGTAAAGATCATGAAGATGATGATCATTATTATTATTATTATTTCCCTGTGCGTAACAGAATTGCGGGAGACGGGCCAGCTGCAGGAGTCTCTGCTGAACCCCCTGAAGCGGCGCCGCCTGGAGCTCGAGGCCGAGCAGGGCCTGAGCCAGAAGCAGCGCGCTCGGCTCAAGGCGCGGCTCGACCGCGCCGAGGAGAGCGAGGCGGCGCGGCTCCACCGCAAGCGGCAGGAGCTGCGCGCGCGTCGCCACGAGCACTACGTGCGCCGGACTGCCGGACTTCCGGCGTGCGACGACAACGACGGCGACGGCAGCTCGCACCGCCCGCACCACCGCCAGCACGGCCACGACCGCCGCGAGAAGCGGGCCCGCGAAGCGTCGGCGGCGGCGAGGGGAGAGCGCAGCGAGCGGGGATTCCAGAGGAGGGCGGCCGTGGCCGATGAGGGCTACTTCCCTGCGGAGGCTGTCGAGTGGCAGAACGACAGGAAGAGGAAGAAGAAGGAGGAGATAAAGCAGAGGTTGAAGTTGAAGGCGAAAATGAAGATGAAGAAACTGAAGGAGAAGAAGGCGCGGCGCAAACACGGGGGGGGCGGCAACGAGGAGGAGGGAGGCAGCGCGAGCTCCGTGTCGGCGTTCCTGCCGCCGTCGAGAAAGAAGAGCAGGAAGAAGCGCGCGAGGGCCAGCGCCAGCGCCAGCGAGACGTGCGTGGAGTGAGTCTCGCGTGTGCAGAGGTTCCTTAACCGGCGATGCGGCATGCGGGACAAACTCACCACCGTGGCACGGCCAGCTAACATTTCACGCTCCGCCTCATTTAGCAAAAGGGCCGTTACCAAATCACGCTGTCCTAACTCAGGTTGAAAGTATTAATGCGTCGGCTCCGTCTGTCTGTTTGAGACGCGGAGGGCACGGTAACTCTCAAAGTTGATCCAATATCCAGAAATCTTCACTACCCTATAGCAAACCAGCAACATTAATTCAAGGGTTGCCCTACATTTGGAGACGAACCAGTGATAAAAGGGTTCACCTTGGTGCTTGCACCTGAATGGCCAAGATGCTCACACCTCTGTACCTCCCCACCGATGATATGATCACACGTGTTGTGATTTTGCTATGTCACACACCATCCGCCCTGTGACATCATAACTTAATGCGGCTTTCCGAGGACAAACACATGTTAGAAAGCATTGCAGAAGCCACGCATGTGGATTGTCTTCCTCCTCTTGTTCTTGCCCACAGTTTAATGCGATCGTGCCATCGATGTCACAAGACGTGGGTGCCAGATGATGATCCATGTAGATCTCTCGCAGAGCATTGCAAACCTTCGTGTTCGAGCGAAGGCCCACGGAATCAGATGTAGCAGAACTACATCTGAGATCCCTTTAACTGACCTCCGGTCCACGCAGAAGGGGGGGGAGAGCACTTTCACAACGGCTATACCAACGTAAATTATTTCCTTCACACATTATATCCTCACAGCTGTAATGTAGCCAAGTTAATGTGATGGCTTTTTGTAGTTGTGGGTGACCTGACTTGAGACCATCCATAGGGGTGCCACGGTGGCGAGATGTTAACTACCTCGCCTGGTATACAGGAGGTCATGGGTTCTATCCCGACCCTGACGCCTGCATATTTGGAGTTTGCATGTTCTGGCCGTGGTTTCGGAGATTATTCTCTGGCTCCTCCAGTTTTTTCCCTCATTTAAAAACGTGCGTTTACAGTATTTTGGCTTAACACGTAGGCTTTCGCGACCAATGTTATTCATAATCAACGTTTTTGGGTTTAGATCGCGTTATTTATAAATGTGTCGTAACCCTCCACCACCCGACACGGCCAATCAGTAAAAATGTGTCACGTTGACAAAGACAAATAGTTCACTGCTTTAGCCCACCGGTGTGTTGAAGCAATTGTAAATGTTGTTGCTTCAACACACCGGTGGGCTAAAGCAGTGAACTATTTGTCTTTGTCAACGTGACACATTTTTACTGATTGGCCGTGTCGGGTGGTGGAGGGTTACGACACATTTATAAATAACGCGATCTAAACCCAAAAACGTTGATTATGAATATTTTGGCTGCTGTAAATGTCGAAATGATGATAAGCCACTTTGGTGAGCTATCATTTGTGGTCAGATTGCGTCTGAAAAAAGAGCTACATAGCTCAGTGGGCCTTACCTGGTAAAATAGAAGATACTTGTAATAGTTGTATCAACTCGCTGCACTTGAGGGACCCTCGCCTGGTTAAAATCACAGGCCTAAAGTCTAACGCAGGATGTCAGCGGTGCCAGCTCTCTCATCACCCCAGCCTCCTCGGTTGTAACACAAACCCGATTCTTCCTTTGATAAATCTCCGTATTCTATAGCGGTGCCCACGCTGGAGGTGGTGAGGTTTTTGTTGTTTGCGGTTTGTGCTTGTGCACTGCTGCTTACACAGTCGATTGTTTTTATTATTTAATGGGAAACATGTGAGATGCGTGAGAAATAAAATAAGTCAACACAAAGTGAGTTTACAGTAAAAAAAAGAAGGCTGATTGCATACAGAAGTCTCAGGAAGGCACGTAAAAGATTTTAAACGAAAACGTTAAAAACATATAATTTGGAAAATGCCTGATGGGTACGTGTACTTTGTTTGAAAATATCTTTTGTTTGAAAATATAGTATGTGCAAAGTCCAGTTTTGAGAAAAATTTCTGTAAACAGTTTTTTATTGTAGTAATGTTTTGACAATGAAGTCAAAAAATAAAAATAGTTAAATTCGCAGAGTGCATTGTGTGTTTATGTGCAATAGGTTTTCTTTGAATGCATTTATTATTACAAAGCAGTTACATTTGCGTTCACAATATTCTGCTGAGTATGACGTCTGTTCACTCGGTGAATTTTCACTTGGAGCAACGTTTGTCAAGACAGCATTGAGAATGTGTACATCACTGATATTATTACTACACATGGCTATATTTTCCTATCGGGCTATAAATTAATATGGAAATGCACACATCTGCAATTTACACCGAGTGGATTGAATTATGATGTTGTGTTTATCTGCAAAGTGGTGTTTGCAAAACAAAAGATCACGAGCCATGTGAGCTTTTCCGACTGGCTATCGCATCACCGGTAACATGCCATTTGTAAATATCAGAGTGATGAAATGTGCGAGCAGAAAATGACATTGTGTTCGGAAACGCCCTGGAAGTTGACACCACAGAACTACATCTGGGGTCACTGTAATTGACTTCGCTCGAACAACACCGCGCCTTTCTGCTCTGTGGAAGTGGCGTACCGGGCGATTGAGGGCCGCCAGGAGGTGTCCAGCACCACTGCTGCCCCCAGTGATGGGCTCGCTGTCCCAGGGCACGGGATTTTTAAATCCTTTATATTAAGTTTGCTTGCTTGCGTGCTTGCGTGCTTGCTTGCTTGCTTACGACCGTGCAAATCTTTCGGTCGTTTTTTAACCCACTTCCCGTGATCCAATCGAGCTGACATTTTGCACACAGACTCGTTGTGCGTGACAATTAATTTTCGTGAAAATAAATTTCCAAAATTTTACACTGTTTAGGGAATTTTTTAAAATATTTAATTACCAATTGCTTAATGGTGGCAGACAATCATCTGACCCATAGATGGCAGCCATCTCAAGCCAGAGGACGGGAGGACTCGAGCCGCCACGCATATAAAGGATTTATAGTGAAAAACTTTGTTTTTACGGGTAAATTTTTTTTATTGAAGTTTGCCAGCTCCTGGATCAGGGGGCTGGCAGCCTTGCGGCTCTGGAACCGCCATGCCGCTTTTTAAGGACTGCAGTGCGGCTCTTGACGTTGGAAAAGAATGGCTCTTATCTTGGTTGACAATCCCTGACCATGGAAGAGTCCAGTTGCGACTAGAGCTTGCATGCACTCATTAATGACCGCTTCGTGACGTGATTTATTAAGGACCACCGTCTCGTAGTCACATTGCATTACAGCGATTGAAATATAGTTTTTTTTTATTTTCCGAATTCGAAACAATGTCTCATCTTATTGTGTTGGTTGCCGACGCCTCTTCTAGATCGACTCCCTTTCCATGTCCCCACCATGACCCAGTCGCATTGACCCTGGTGCGTGGATGCCACGGTGTGTTGGGCCTGTGCACCGCACCTCAAGGGCCCAGATTTACTCTGAGATCCCTTGCAGGTTAAGCGAAAGTTGTTGGATTATGCATTCGTTTACACCTTTTAGCATCCAGACAGGTATAGGCTACAATCTTGATTTGAAGCTTTCGTGACTGCAGGAATTTCTACTCTTTGGTTCTTTCAGTCAAGTCGAGTTTAAAACCATCATGTGAATTGTGCTCAATGCGTAGTTTTGTACGTATTTTTTTTATAATCAACTCGTGACACCTGAGAACCTAATTCAATCAGATGTGGCTGGTGCCGAGATTCTAACCCAGTTTGTCAGTGATTCAAGGTACTATGCGAGTCATTGAGCTCACCGAGGGCACCCATGCTGAACAGAGGCAGAACACACAAACTCCACACCCATGCGCCCGAGTCGGGGATCGAGCCCTAAATCTTTATTGCTGTGAGACGCGAGTGTTGCTACTGCGCCAACCGACGTCCACTGCATCCACAATGAATACAGCGTGCCAGAGGTCGCAACCGGGTACCCGATACCCGTACCCTACCCGATACCCGGCTACCCGTACCCGGCCAGGTACGGGTACCCGTTTGCGACCCTGGTGCGGCTGGGTACGGGTAGGCCGTGAGTCACTGGTGAGTCACCGTTTGTCACTCATTTCGGGTAGGGTACGGGTACGGGTAGGGAACGGGTACCCATTTGCGACCCTGGTGCGGCCGGGTACGGGTAAGGAATCAAAACCCATTTGCGACCTCTGCAGCGTGCCCCGCATACAACCCCCATGGACCCGCATGGCATGGAGGCCCTCAATTAGCAGTGGATTGACACAAAATGACCGCTCATGTACACGTGCGTAGTCCATCACGCCAACAATCTCGCAAGATTTCTTTGCACGGGTTTCCGATATTGACCGCCGATGTAATATGAGCCTCTTGAAGTGAGCGCTTGAGTCCACATCTGTCAGGTCAAGCCCGTGTTTCCCCCCCCCACTCAAGTCGACACGGCGGCGGTCGTGTCGGCAAAGCCTTTTTTTTGTTTCGACAGAGGAAGTTGTGTCGCCACGCTTGCGTCGACATAACATATAATAAACGTTTTTGGGTTTAGATCGCGTTATTTATAAATGTGTCGTAATCCTCCACCACCCGACACGGCCAATCAGTAAAAAAGTGTCACGTTGACAAAAGACAAATAGTTCACTGCTTTAGCCCACCGGTGTATTGAAGCGTGAAACCACAACATTTACAATTTGAGTACGACGTTTCGCTGGTAATTGCATCCAGCATCATCGGGCAATTCTGGCGATTCTGGCGAATTGCCCGATGATGCTGGATGCAATTACCAGAGAAACGTCGTACAACTCAAATTGTTAATGTTGTGGTTTCACGCTTACACACACCGGTGGGCTAAAGCAGTAAACTATTTGTCTTTTGTCAACGTGATACTTTTTTACTGATTGGCCGTGTCGGGTGGTGGAGGGTTACGACACATTTATAAATAACGCGATCTAAACCCAAAAACGTTTATTATGAATGATATTGGTCGCGAAAGCCTACGTGTTAAACCGACATAAAACGGTTGCGCGCGTGCAAAGCCCCCGACGACTCCACGGTTGGCCTTGTACGTTGCTGCTTGGGATGTGTGGCCAGTTTTGAGGTTTTCTCGTTGGGCGGGGGGGAAGGGTCTTGAGGGTGTCTGCCGAGACATCGTTGGGTCAATGTTTCTGCTCAAGAGCAATTGCCGCTTCCTGTGGTTTTGCGCGACATGGGTGCGTGTGCCTCTGTTTGCAATTATGATAACACAGCGTGCCTGGAGAACACCCATACTCGTGGGGTAAACCACTCAAAGCTCCATTTTCTCAGGTGGCTTTCTCTCGACCTGCTTGCTGGACTGCCACATACAGGCACTATTTTAGTGTCCCATCAGGCAGGTAGGTACATTGTGAACATGATAGTACTGGTAGGAACCACCTGGTTCCACCAGCCCACAGGGGATTATTGTGTCCGTCCGTCGTGCATCCAAAAATGGGAGGGGTGGGGGGCTGGCTGTAGAGGGGAGGGTGGGGAGGGGCTGGGTGGGGGTGGGAGGGGTGGGGCTGGGTGGGGAGGGGCTGGTCACCCCGTGGTGCCCTTATAAAACTCAACGTTTAACCTACTCACGCCGGCTTGTGCCCGCCCTCACAGTCGGGCATATTTGCGGAATACACCACGCTGCCGTTGACCCTGGCCATTGACCGAGCAACCCAACGTTCCTACCAGCTCCCTCCGCAGGAGGAATGTGTTTAAATGTGTGTGTAATCCACCTTCATCGCCGCGTTCGGATTGCAAGCGTGCATAGTTTACACCACACCCAATCGAAGCTTTAAAAAAAAACATTTTATTTTGTCAACGCCAGTTTAATATGCATATTTCTTAGCGTGATCCAGCAACCCCTGCCTCCCGTTGGCTCTGGATCACAAGCTTGCTCTGACAACAGAAACTACATTTCCTCGTGTTTATTAATTAAACTTAATCGCGTCTGTTTGACTCGAACGCTCCTCGTGGAGGGGAATGCGTGCGGAGGGTCCCGAGTTATGAAGATGGATTCAATTAAGACTCATTGTGATTTAATAACCCCTTGAACAAAGGCAACACCTGCTTACCTTCTAATTAAGAAGCATGCCGGTCATTTGCCTTCGATAAGGACGCATGCAGGGTTTTAAGTAGCAGTTGGCATCTACCAAGTGAGCACTCAGCTCGTTCTAATTCATGGGTCACGTGCTTAATTTTAAAAGCGCGTATATTCTCAACTCTGATTTCTCAGCAGTTGAACATTTTGTCTCTTTTTTTTTCTTCATATTAAGATTTGTCAAGGTAGAATTTTTTTGAAATTGTAACATTTGCGGCCGTTGATTTGTGGCGGGGGTGTGGGAGGGTAGCAGACTTGATCCCTGCTTAACTTTCCGATGTGCTGCGACATCATAATGTAAGTTGAGTCATTAACCCCCCCCCCCCCCCCCCACTTTGCGCAAGAGCGCAGAAGCATGGTCACCACATCTACGCCTCGATATAACGAACGAAACAGGAAGACTTCTCCACAAATCTGGCTGTCGCCTGATGAAGCTAGTTGTAATTACTGGCGAAACGTCGTACTCGGATTGTAAATGTTGTGGCTTGGCTCTCCAACACACCGGTGTGCTGTACCAGTATACTCCACTATACACTACACTACACACTAGTGCTGTAATAGTGACGAATTGGCCACGTTCTGTTTACGTGACAACCCTTACTAGTTGGCTGTGTCGGGTGCTGGCGGGTTTTAACGACACATATATTTACGCGATGAAACCCAAAAAACCTCTATTATGAACATCAGTCGCATGCATTTTTGGAGCGTGTTCGTCTTCTCTCCCCAGTGGTCGCGTGGATTTTTAAATCCTTTATATTAAGTTCGCTTGCTTGCTTGCGTGCTTGCTTGCTTGCTTGCGTGCTTGCTTGCGACCGTGCAAATCTTTCGGTCGTTTTTTAACCCACTTCCCGTGATCCAATCGAGCTGACATTTTCCACACAGACTCGTTGTGTGAGACAATTAATGTTCGTGAAAAAAAATTCCCCAAATTTTACACTATTTAGGGAAAACAAATTAAATATTTAATTACAAATTGCTTAATACTGGCAGACAATCATCTGACCCATAGGTGGCAGCCATCTCAAGCCAGAGGACGAGAGGACTTTAGCTGCCACGCATATAAAGGATTTATAGTGAAAAACTTTGTTTTTACGGGTTTACTTGTTCCCGGGTCCTTTATTCCCTCCACGCGTGTAGCAAACGCGCGTTCACAGTATTTGGCGCCTGTAAATGTCTCACTTCGTTGAGCTTTCAATTGTGGGCCAGGTCGCTTCTGAACGAGAGCCATACAGCTCAGCGGACCTAACCTGGTAAAATAGAACGTGTTTAGTTTATTCTTATGTGTGCTGCGTTTTTACCATTTGCTGTATTCATCTTTTGATTTAAAGCTTTCGTGACTACAGGGATTCATATTCTTGGTTCTTTCGGTTAAAGTCACGTAGAAGGGAAATAAAATAATATAAATCCACATCTGATGATGATTGCTTGTGTTGCAGTCGAAACGTCGTGAGAATTTTTATTGTTTTATATTTATATTATTTTATTATTTCCCTTCTACGTGTATTCATCTTCTCCAAAAAAGAAACAACAACGTAATTTATTTCCCTCCTCCCATGTCAACGAATGTTCGTATCACATTAACAGGTGCGTGGACGTGGCTGGGAAACAAGTATAACCCATAAAAACAAAGTTTTTCACTCTAAATCCTTTATATGCGTGGCGGCTAGAGTCCTCTCGTCCTCTGGCTTGAGATGGCTGCCACCTATGGGTCAGATGATTGTCTGCCAGTATTAAGAAATTGGTAATTAAATATTTAATTTGTTTTCCCTAAACAGTGTAAAATTTTGGAAAAAATTTTTCACGAACATTAATTGTCTTGCACAACGAGTCTGTGTGCAAAATGTCAGCTCGATTGGATCACGGGAAGTGGGTTAAAAAACGACCGAAAGATTTGCACGGTCGTAAGCAAGCAAGCACGCAAGCAAGCAAGCGAACTTAATATAAAGGATTTAAAAAGGAGCATTACTCTCGAAACCTTGCGGGGGGTGGGGGGGGGGGCAAAGCTGCCTTGGGCGCCTGCCCCACCACCACCAAATCTCCTCGTGGGGAAGAGCGTTGTGTGGGGCTGTGTGCGCCCGTGTGCTCGGAACGTTGACACGGGCCGCAAGGGTGAGACTCCCCCTCCCGTCGGCTTCATTCGGTCCCCAACGTGGCCGTGTTCACAGGGGCCGCCTTCCGCGTTGCAGTCACCCCCCCCCCCCCCCCTCGTGCGTCGATGGAAAACTTTGTTGAGAAGTTTTCCCACCCGTGACGGTGCACGAGTCGCGTACCATCGTTCGAATTAAGGGCCGTCCATAAATGACGTCACGCGATTTTGGACGATTTTTGACCCCCCCCCCCCTCGTCACACGGCGTCACAAAAAGTCAGACCCCCCCCCTCAAATATGACGTCACAAAGCTCTGCCCCCCGCCCCTCCCCCAAATAAAACATGCTTCAAATCGCTTTAAACTATTGTCATTGTAGTGCGTATTTAATGTGGCGCTGCACTGATGTCGTAGGAAAAAACATTTATTATAAAGTATATTTAATTAAGTGGAACGTGTTGTCTATATTTAAATTTGCGCATTTTGATGTGACGTCACATTTCTCAAACCCCCCTCGTCACATCGTCAAAGGTCTGACCCCCCCCCCCCAAATACGTGACGTCATTTATGGACGGCCCCTTATCGGCTCCCACTGTTGGGCCACCCGAGTTCGATCCCCAGCCGCGGCACGTGCGCCAGTGACGACTCAAAATGCGAACCGACATCAATATGCGAAGAACAAACAAATTCGGGAGAAATTAATTGGGGGGGGGGGGGGGGGGGTCACAAGACATCTGGACGAACCTGTACAGTGGTGTACTGCGATGATCTCACGTCTGCGCCTCGCGTGCACAACCCTCACTGACCAGCGTGGTGAAGTATCGTCAAGTAACCCTCGCAGGTTTTTTCGGTAAAGTCCCGTAGGTAAAAAATTAAAATTAATAAAAGTAAAATAAAATTTAAAAAATCACGACGTTTCGGAGGCAACACAAGCTTCCGTCTTCAGGTGGAACCGTCAAAGCACGATAGCTGTAAGTGACTCACTTGATACAGCTATCGTGCTGTGACGGTTCCACCTGAAGACGGAAGCTTGTGTTGCCTCCGAAACGTCGTGATTTTTAATTTTATTTTACTTTTATTAATTTTCATTTTTTACCTACGTGACTTTACCGAAAAAACCTAAGAATATGAATTCTTGCAGTCACGAAAGCTTCAAATCTAGAAATAACCCTCACAGCGCACGCGGCGTCCAGCAGTGGACTGACGCGTCCACACGATGCAGAGTGCCCGCTTCGCCAAACGTCAACAGCGGTTTCCACGCGAATGTCCTGGCTCCCGCCATAGGAATGCGGACAGTTCCACCGAATGCCTCGGCGTGGGGGCAGACCTTCATGCAGCCGCGGTTTAACTTACGAAGAAAAGAGCTGTACATCGCTAATCATTGTTACAGGAAGACGCGAAAGGCGGCGGCGCCCTGAGCACGCGCGGCACCCTGAGCACGTGCGCCGTTTAAAGCGCTTTTCGAGGCAACGTCGCCACCTGGTGGCGCGGTCGTGACAACGCGGGAGGGGGGGGGGGGTAAACCCGAGCCCGACAGGGGGGGGGGGTGTAAACCCGAGCCCACTGGGGGGGGGGTAAACCCGAGCACACTAGAGAGGGGGGGTAAACCCGAGCCCAACAGGGAGGGGGGGGGAAACCCGAGCCCGACAGAGGGGGGGTGTAAACCCGAGCCCACTGGGGGGGGGGGGGGTAAACCCGAGCCCACTAGAGAGGAGGGGGGGGTAAACCCGAGCCCAACAGGGGGGGGGGGTAAACCCGAGCCCAACAGGGGGGGGGGGGAAACCCGAGCCCACTAGAGAGGGGGGGGGGGTAAACCCGAGCCCAACAGGGGGGGGGGGTGTAAACCCGAGCCCACTGGGGGGGGGGGTAAACCCGAGCACACTAGAGAGGGGGGGTAAACCCGAGCCCAACAGGGAGGGGGGGGTAAACCCGAGCCCGACAGAGGGGGGGTGTAAACCCGAGCCCACTGGGGGGGGTAAACCCGAGCCCACTAGAGAGGAGGGGGGGGTAAACCCGAGCCCAACAGGGGGGGGGGGGGAAACCCGAGCCCAACAGGGGGGGGGGGTAAACCCGAGCCCACTAGAGAGGGGGGGGGGGGAAACCCGAGCCCAACAGGGGGGGGGGGGCAAACCCGAGCCCACTAGAGAGGGGGGGGGGGTAAACCCGAGCCCAACAGGGAGGGGAGGGGTAAACCCGAGCCCAACAGGGGGGGGGGGGGTAAACCCGAGCCCACTAGAAAGGGGGGGGGGGTAAACCCGATCCCAACAGGGGGGGGGGTAAACCCGAGCCCAACAGGGGGGGGGGGGTAAACCCGAGCCCACTAGAGAGGGGGGGGGGTAAACCCGAGCCCAACAGGGGGGGGGGGGTAAACCCGAGCCCACTAGAGAGGGGGGGGGGTAAACCCGAGCCCAACAGGGGGGGGGGGTAAACCCGAGCCCAACAGGGGGGGGGGTAAACCCGAGCCCAACAGGGAGGGGGGGGGGGTAAACCCGAGCCCAACAGGGAGGGGGGGGTAAACCCGAGCCCACTAGAGAGGGGGGGGGGGTGTAAACCCGAGCCCAACAGGGGGGGGGGGGGGTAAACCCGAGCCCAACAGGGAGGGGGGGGTAAACCCGAGCCCACTAGAGAGGGGGGGGGGGTGTAAACCCGAGCCCAACAGGGGGGGGGGGGTGGTAAACCCGAGCCCAACAGGGAGGGGGGGGTAAACCCGAGCCCAACAGGGGGGGGGGTAAACCCGAGCCCAACAGGGGGGGGGGGGGGGGAAACCCGAGCCCAACAGGGGGGGGGGTGTAAACCCGAGCCCAACAGGGGGGGGGGGTAAACCCGAGCCCACTAGAGAGGGGGGGGGGGGTAAACCCGAGCCCTACCTGATGATGGTTGCTTGTGTTGCAATCTAAACGTCGTACTATATTATTTAATTTATTTTCTTTCTACGCGACTTTACCGAAAGAACCAAAGAGTGACCCCTAATTATTTTCGTTCTTTGCAGATTTTTTTTCACACCCATTGGTATACAAACAATATTTAAAATAAGAATATGCATTTATACCGTAGGAACCTGATGAGCTATAAAGCTCTTTTTCGCAGCTGTCGAGTTATTGCGTTAAATGAGGGGGGGGGGGGGGGGTCACAAGACATCTGGACCACCTTGTATTATAATGGGGGTTGCTCCTATGCCCCCTGTTGACTACCGCATGGCACTGCTTTGTGAAGCTGGCACGCGGTGGTGGTCTGCCTCGTGGTGGCCGACAGGTGATGAGACTTCGTCTCCACCATCGGAACAAATTTACTTTCTACCAGCGACTGGCGAACCACGAGCAGGAGGTAGAAGCTACATTTAGCATTCACTGGCTTTTGATTTAAAGCTTTCGTGACTGCAGGGATTCATATTCTTGGTTCTTTCAGTAAAGCCACGTAGAAGGGAAATAAAAAAATAAAAGATAAATATATTTGATATTTTTATTCTTTTATTATTAAAATAATAAAAATATAACTTTTATATTTTATTCCATTATTAAAATAATAATAAAAAGTATTATTTTATTATTTACCTTCTACGTGACTTTACCGAAAGAACCAAGAATATTCACTGGCTTGTTCACCTTCGTAAGAGGAACCGATCTTTCATGTAGGTACAGCCTTATAGAATTCTCAGCGGACGAGACAGCCATCAGAAAACATCCAACTCACCTGCAATGCACCTCTTCAGTGCTCGTTAATGGGATTGGCAGCTGGGCACAGTGGCACATTCTGAAGGAACTTGCAGAGGTTTGGATGGTGGCTCACAGAAGACACATCGTGTGCCCAAGGCTCCCAAACCAACTGGGCTGTCAGCTGTCTTGTAGATGGCAGTCAAGCCAATTGGCTTATGAGCTATGGAGTGCAGTGTTTTTATTACGCACTTTTATTTAACTCACTCCGTCTGTTGTCTTATCCTCCAAAAATATTGTAACTCAATTTTTACACACTTCCCAATGTGCTATCGACTGCAAACTTGGTATACTTATGTCATATACTGATGACAAGACTATATTATATAATACAAAAATTAAATAATTTTTTTAACATTTTACACGCTTTTATTTAACTCTGTTGTATCCTCAAATATTGTAACTCAATTTAAACCGTCTTCCCAATGTCGTATCGACTGCAAACTTGGTATAGGTATGTCATACTGATGACAATACTATATTCTATCATTAAAAATGTTAAATATATTTTTTAAACAATCTTTTTTACGGGTATAATTGTCCACGCTCAACTGACGTTGGCTGTAAATCACCACGGTCCCTTACGTCACAGCAAGCCTCGGGGCCACTTTCTGGAGTCGTGGAGTTCTGCCATTACTCGTACGGTACATTTCATGAAAGAGTGTTTAAAAAAAAGTTTCAATATTTTTTCCCTCGTGTGTGGGATTTCTCGGGTCACACCAGTTTCTTCTCAGATTCAACAGCAATCACAAACCTGTAGACATTTCAAGCAGGCCTCGACAAAGTCTGCACTCAGAGTTATGGCATACCTGGGTAAACAGATGTTATTCTTACGAGTAAATATATGCATTAAGCCAGTTTTTCTTCATAGTACAAGTTGACACTCATTTTATGCTGTGTATATACAACATACATGTTGTTATTTGAGGCACTTTGTTATTGTTCAAATTCTGCCAAATTACTGCCACTAACTAGTGTCTGAAAAAAGTGCAACTTTTATTTTTTTTATTTTTTATAATGTAAAGCCACTATTCTGGGGTCCAATGCATGCTGGTTAAAACACAAAACAACATCTAAAAGTATGAACCTGTGCAATATATATATTTGGTTCATTACCTTATTTAGCCTTTTATATTGCAATAATATCTCCGGACATCCTTAAAAGGACTGCTTCGTGGAGTAATCACTCACGAGCAATGTGCCCTGCAGGCTGTGGCTCCACAAACACATAGTCGTTATACCAACACTCTTTCAACCAGAGCACATTATATCTTGGTAAAATGAGACACAAATCACTGTGTCCATTAAAAACACACATCGAATGCAGGTGGTGGCTCAGAAGGCAATGCCCTCTTGCAAAACTGAGCCTCTAACACCGGAAAACCTGGGTTCGAGTCCTCCGCTACGAAGATGAAACCAGATTATGAAGTACAGCAAGTTCGATATTCTCAACCCAGTGACCAAGTGGGCTATGCAAAATGACATTATACAAGTTACATTTCTACGATTGGGCTAGCGATACATTTTCGCAAGTATATTTTACAACAGATGTGAAGTGAACCGATGGTGGGCGATACAGCTGCTAAACACCAGTAGTCCTGCAGCACCGACTTACCAGCACCATCCCCCTGTGATACGGAAGACTGTCCTGATTTCTTTAGTCTTGATGTCAAGAACATAACTGGGATAGAACAGGTGAAAATAGCAGCCATGTAGCACCACAACAACAGCGAGGCTAACCACACCATTGCAGGTTACACGTTTAAATCCCGTTCCAAATGTTGGCTGAGCCCATCACCCCTCTGGGGTTGTTAAAATGAGTACCACTTTGTGGCAAGTGAACAATAGTTGTCCTATAACGCGAACAACCATACAAATGTGGTGTTTCCCCCACTGGTCCAGGACTGCCAACAGAGATTGGCATTGCCCAGTGCATAAGGGAGACACTTTGACTAAAAGAGTCACGTATGAAGAAACACGTGACAGGCATCACCAGCTTGTGTTACACCCTCCAGAACAGGATTCCACAAAATCCAGTCTTCGCGGCCTACCAGTGCACCATTCCACATCTACCAATCTTGTCCATTAAAACAGTCGTTACATATCACACACCTGATGATTGGTAAACATAACTCGCATAACATAAACGGCACCGACTCAAATTAAGACAGACGTACGTACACAAAACGCATTTGCTCGTAACTGTATCAGAGCTGAACTATATAAAAAAAAGATTTATAAAATCATGAATTCTTAGTGCAGTCTCTGGTGTTGGCACCGAGATGATTAAAACTCGCTACACTCAACGGCTCGGTCACATCACGAGGTGGGCCGACAAACAAGATGCCAACCCGAGCCAGCCACCCGCCGGCGTTGGCTCTGGCGCTCGCGACACGGCGAGTCTCCGCAGCCATCCGAGCTCAGATCTGCAGGTTGATGTACGGCAGGAGGTATCCGGCGGCGAGCAGGTCACCCAGCAGGATGACGGCGTGCTGCGGGGGCGACTCGATGTCGATGGCGACGCCGCGGCCGCGCAGGCGCGCCAGGCCGGGCTCCGTCACATTCTGACAGCCGCTCACGGACAGGGAGCGCAGCGCCGGGCAGTACTCCGCCACCGTCCTGCGCGCACAGTGATACGCCCGTGCGGTCTTTAACTATGGCTTACTGCTGATATATAAAGTATCAACTTTTTAATTATATCTAGATTTGAAGTTTTCGTCACTGCAGGGATCCATACTCTTTGGTTCTTTCGGCAAAGTCACGTAGGTATAAAATAAAATAAAATCACGACGTTTCGGGCGCAACACAAGTGTCCGTCATCAGGTGGGACAACCACAGCAAGAAACAATTGCTGAAGTGGGCAAAAGGGCTGCTGTATCAAGAGGCTTTTAGGTAAGAGAGGTGGGGAGGAGCCAGGGAGGAGAGATAGAGAGGGGGTGTGGGGTAGGAGGTAAAGCCCACTGAGCTAGAAAGATCTTTTTCAGAAGTGACCTGGCCACGAATGATAGCTCAACTGGAGTGGCTTATCATGTGGAGATTTATAGCAGATAAATACTCTTTTGTATTTAGACGTGTGTATGCTGCGCTCAAACACACAAATGCATACATACTAAGAACAAGAGCCATGGCATTCAGGCAATTTTCAATAGCAACTCATTAATTAGGCGCAACTGTGGAAGCTTTGTATGGCAGTGGCTTAAAGTGACCGAGTTGTTGAGCCAATATAAACGGGGTTTTAAATTGTTTACTGAACACCTGCTTGTTGTGTTTAGTTCGTTGTCCTTCACCCGCACCTATGATTAGCAGAGTTGGCTACATACGGTGCGAAAGAAGTTCAACTTACATACATATGACCTGTGTGATTTGACTGGGAAATTCCATTACAGTTGTCCACTGATCACATTTGATACTGGACATCTGTGAAAAAGAGCTTCATAGCTCATCGGATTCCTCCAGGATAAATACAGATTCTGATATTTGTATAGATAACAGCAACAAACTTTAATAGAAAATATTGTGACAACTATCGCTGGTGCTTATTGCTGGAAACAATAACCCTGACATTCCCCTAATGTAGCAAGGCCTCAAGATTGTTGGTTAAGAAGTATAGACTAGGGGCAAGCGCTATTAGCAAGAGCATATTAGGACTGACACATTGGTGATGTTCACATGCTCATTAAAGTGGAGTCGACATAAGAGAGGCCCAGGACAGGTGGTTGACGTTACAACCTGCTGCTGCTGTTATTCACGGGAGGTACATACACCCGAGTCACCCGGTTCGTAGTGCAGCGTGCTAATCGCTTCACTACTGTTCTCCACACTCGGACAGACACACGCGCGCGCGTGTGCGGACGGCGAGCGAGCGAGTGGCACTGACCGCACGGCAGCGTTGGTGACGCGGAAGCAACCCGAGATGTCGAGGTGCTGCAGTCGGGGGCAGCCCTTGGCCACGGCCTCCACGCCGCGGTCCGTGAGGCTGCAGTCGAGCGCCACGCCCAGCGACACGAGGCCTGGGCAGCCGGCCGCCAGGCGTGCGAGGCACTCGTCCGTCACGCTCAGGCACTCGCTCACGTCGCACGACTGCACACCGCGCACAGGCGCACATGCGCACAATGACACCGGTTTGCGATTTTCCAGCCACTCCATAGTCTCTTGTCCTTTACCCACACCTATGAGCACGGTTGGCAATGTACGGTGCGAAAGAAGTTCAACATATGTACCAACAATTCTCAATATGAAGGTGTTTTGGTAATATGTTCCAACAATGGGGAAAACCGCCAAGGTGATGTGTTTCGGTTCCGTAAAGATGTGAATCCGGTCCATAGTCTCACACTACTCAAAGAAGCGCTGAGCAATGGTGGACATCTGTGAACTACTGGACATCTGTGAACTACAAGACATCTATATTCTTGGTTCTTTCAAAGCTTATCGGATTAATCCAGGGTAAATATTCTGTTAAAATATTCATCTGCCATCTTCATTGACAGCCCTGAACTGTGATAACCGACCACAAGGGGGCACTCATTTTATTGGCACGAGAGAGATCACGACGAAACCTTAAATTTCAAGTCGCATGCCCGAGCTGCAGTACAATCCAGTTGTGGTCATTGTAAGTTTGCTAGTAAATCCCAGTTATGGGTCGACTCAGTTCATAACCCCCCTGAGGTGGACAGTGAGAAACACTCTGTGGGAAGTAAAAGCCCGGCGTTCCATTTGTCCATAAACAAAATTTTAAGAGCCTTTCAGAAGGCCTGAATTAAAAAGTTATAGAAATGGACCCCCCCCCCCCCCAGATGTGGGGGTAAAAAGTTGATCCAACAGGTTTACAAAAATTGTTGACCCCCCCCCCCCCAAGTCATTCATATCTACAGACATGGGGGTACTAGAGAAGATGATATCAGTGGCGACGACGGACGAGGCACAAAGTGCTGAGAAGCCCTCCGCTGGAGCTTGAATAAAGCCGTCGTCGGCCGCAAAAAGTTTGGAACGACTAAATTTGTCGTTGCCGAAAACAAAATAGAATTTCTACCACTGGCTCGGTAAAACGCGTTTGGCAACTGTACCACTACCGTGGTTACAGCTCTCAGGAGACTTGTGTGTTGTGATTTCGCTGCTGATTTATAGGGCGCAGTCTAAATCTTAAACCCCTGCCTCAGTGCAGGATATATTTATCCTACTCTTCACTTCATTTCACAACTCACTCGAGTCCTTATGACAAGCAGATTGCTAAGCGACAGCAGGAGAACATTTGAATGACACCCACCATATGCTACAGTTTTTTTCAGTCTTCACAAAATATTCAGAAAGTTATTATAAAAGGTCAAATCAGGAAGAGGCATTAGATCCTGTCTTGTATGGAACAGTAAACATATGTAAATGTATACTATTTACATCGTTCATAAGATATATTTCATTCATGAAAACCTGAGGCAGAAAATGCAGAAGGGATTAGAATGTTTGGCCAATTCGGTTTCGCTGGGATGCTTCGCATGTGAGAAGACACAGGAGTATCTTCAGAAAAACCAGCACGCATATCTAGTAATAACTCCCAAAAGCATCCAAACGGGACCACAAACCCGCCTGCTGTACTATCTCAGCCCAGCGGATTTGACAGGATGACAAATCTCAATACGATCCATCAACCATTGCCTCCAAAGCTCTGAATCAAAGGTGTGTATCATCATGCCCAGCTGTATTATTAGGCACCACGGTGGCGAGATGATAACTCCCTCGCCTGGTATCGATGAGGTCGTGGCTTAAATTCCGACCCTGACACCTGTATATTTGGAGTTCACATGTTCTCCCCGTGGTAGCGTGGAATTTTCTCCGGGTCCTCCGGTTTTTCCCTCCACATTTTGAGCGACGTAATGTGCCCAGGTCACTTCTAAAAAAGAGCTATATAACTCAGTGGAACTTACCTGGTAAAATAAAACGTTTATTGTGATTAACGAGTCTCAGAGCACCTAGCAGTTTCTGCCAGACACCACCAACTACCCCCATGAAAGTCAAGGCGTCACACTTCACTGCAATCGCCGCCGCCGCCGCCACTACCTCCAGCTGCGGGCAGCGCTCGGCGAGGCCGTGCAAGCACAGCGGCTCCAGCCACTTGCAGCCGCGCAGGCCGACGCGCCGCAGGCCCGGGCAACTGGAGGTGAGCGCGTGCAGGCCGGCCGGCGAGAGGTGCGAACAGCGCGCCAGCTCGGCGCGTCGCAGGCGGAGGTTGCGCCGCACGAGGGGCACGAGCTCGGCGTCGGTGAGCCAGGAGGAGCAGCCCGTGAGCACGAGCTCGCGCAGCGCGCTGCTGTGCTGGAACAGCTCGGAGAAGCACGTGCGTGGGAACGTCGACGCCACCTGCGGCTCGACGGGAACAGCACAACGCGAAGGCGGGCAGGCGATTGTGTATGCGTAATCAACAGCTTGATATCTCTCAGATGTTTCAATTCGATGGGAATCCGACTCTTTACTGTGACAGAATTTGTTCGCAATATATCAAGCATTGGCTTGATATATAGGGATGTACATTTTAGATTATTTCTAATAAGCGGTCGTGCAAGTGTATGGATGTTAAACTGCCGTCGCACCGTATGTTGGCAACCGTGCTAATCGGAGGTGCGGGGGAAGGACAACAAACTCAACACATGAAAGCGATTCTAAAGAAACGCGTTTTCAATCTCGATTTAAACGAGTTCACGTCAAGTCCATGCCACAGATTCTCCTCATTACCTCCATATATAATTGAGTTTTTTTTTCTCTCTGACAATTATGAGGTGAGTGCAGGGTTGCCATACACTTTCTGGAGGCCCGGGGAGAAATTCCAAATGAGGCCCCCTCAGGCTTTGCTGAACAAACTTTTCCACCTGCCTCCCCCCCCTTTTTCTCTGCTATAAATTTCCACACGATAATCCAAATTTGTTGTGCTATTATTTGTGGTCAGGTCGCTTCTGAAAAACAAGTTAATAGCTCAGTGGGCTTTACCTGGTAAAGCCCAAAAAATGTTTAGTTTTATTAGTTTTTCAAGTGATTTTTTGCCTCTCCAATACTTTGCACTCCCATCGTGTTTTTGCATCGTCCGCCGTTGCAACGTTCTGACCGGGCCCTGCTGGACATCTCTGAAAAAGAGCTTTTACAGCTCATCTTTCTTGGTTCTTTCGGTAAAGTCACGTAGAATGGAAATACAAAAATAATAAAAATAAATAAATAATATGCCCATACATTTTTTCCTTATTTTATTATGTTTTATTTTTATTTTTTTATTTCCATTCTACGTGACTTTACCGAAAGAACCAAGAAGATGAATCCCTGCAGTCACGAAAGCTTTAAATCGAAACTTTTACAGCTCATCGAATTCCTAAGCGGCCGTGGGCGAACGGGCCACGCCGTCCGGCTCACCTGGCTGAGGTCGAGCGAGTGGGCCGCGCTCAGATGGAGGCGCACCAGCTCGCGGAAGCGGCGGCACACGCACTGCAGCTGCAGCAGCTGCGCCAGGGGCAGGCGGGACAGCACGTGGGGGATGAGCACGTCCTCCCACGGCAGCTCCAGCAGCGAGCGCCTAGGGAGGGAGAGGGCACGGGCGGCAGGGATGGCACGTGTTGTTACAATGTGACAACGCGATTTTTTTTTATTACATTTTATTAACTTTTATTTTTCTATATTTTTTCGATCTACGTGACTTTACCGAAAGAACCAAGAATACAAAATAATAAATATTTATATTTGATTCATTTCACGACGTTGAGAATATAATAAGTATAACCCGTAAAAACAAAGTTTTTCACTATAAATCCTTTATATGCGTGGCGGCTAGAGTCCTCTCGTCCTCTGGCTTGAGATGGCTGCCACCTATGGGTCAGATGATTGTCTGCCAGTATTAAGCAATTGGTAATTAAATATTTAATTTGTTTTCCCTAAACAATGTAAAATTTTGGAATTTTTTTTCACAAACATTAATTGTCTCGCACAACGAGTCTGTGTGCAAAATGTCAGCTCGATTGGATCACGGGAAGTGAGTTAAAAAACGACCGAAATATTTGCACGGTCGTAAGCAAGCAAGCAAGCACGCAAGCACGCAAACTTAATATAAAGGATTTTAAAAAGGTTCACTTCGTGCTAAGGAATCAGAATATTTCAGAATTAGAATGCATATTTAGACTGGAAGAATCCGATGAGCTACGAAGCTCTTTTCACATTTGTCCAGGTCACAGATGTTCCAGTAGGTCGGTCATCTCAGAATGGCCAGCTGAGATGACAACGCTTCTCCCATGAGCCACTCGGCCTTCTGTGAGTGCATCTCATCAGCACAATTGGTCTCAGTACAAGCAACGCCCAGGACCGGTTTCGACATTCAGTGCCTCGTCAGCAGCCAATGCTGGTGACCTGTCCGACGTTTCGGCACAGACCTCTCTCTCTGTTCGACAACGCGGGGGGGGGGAGGGCATTCAAAAACCGAGACGCACGAATCGACCCACTAATCGAGTACAATCGCCACCGACTCGACTCCCCGTACACAGATCACACAGGAATCGAACAAAGCAAGAAATCGTCACCGACGATTCGACGCGTTTCAATTGCCGCAAGAATCGTTAAAAAACAAAACGTCCCGGCGACTCCGGAATCGATTCAGGCTCATAAATAAATGTGTGTGTGTGACAAGCTCGTGAACAACAACAACAAGAGGCACGGGGGGAGCACCTGCGGGAAACCTGCGCCTCCATGGAGCCCGGGCGGTCGCTTGTGCCTCGGGCCGCTGCAGCATGCGACGGCTGCCGATGTGAATCGCTCAGAGGGGAAAGCGGCGGTGGCGGCCCGGCTATCAACAGCCGCGAAGGGGGGAGGGCGCCCTTTGACCCCAGCCCGCGGTGACGTCACTCCCTCTCTCCCATTGGACGAGATATCGATCCAGGGGTGATTCCGAATAAGGCTGTATCGATTATCGCTCGCCTCGCGATTAATCAAGTTTCATTTTCATGTATTAGGTATAGCCCTGTGAGCCATTCAGCTCTTGAATCGGGTGCAACGGCAACAAACAAAAAACATGAACATAAAACATCTTAAAGTGAATATGTGACTAAGTGCAAACAGAAAATTCAAGAAAAGACAGCAAAAATATTGCAGAAAAAGCACCGTACACCAACGCTGTGTGCAAAAATCTCAGTGGGATGCAAGTCAAACAACAACCACAAGACAACTTAGATTAAGGCCATCAGTCTAACTCTGTACTACAACAAACAAACATGGGTAAACCAATACACTTTTCGAAATCACCAAAATAAAGCCATGAAAGCAATGAAAAAGCCATCATAGGAACTGTGACGGAATTTTCACAATAAATGGCATAAACAACATGTACTACCAAAACCCTGTCGCCCCCCCCAAAATAAAATCTCACGCGTGCGTGCGTGCGTGCGACTCGCTCGCGCGTGGCGGATTGAAGGATTTGTCGAACACGTGGACGACTTGCGGCTCTGTGTGTAGGGTGTGTCTTGTGTGTGGGGTGGGGGGAAGGAATCGATTCCGGAATCGATTAGTAAGCCTTCGAATCGTGATCGCTTGATTCGGTCTCATTTATTGCGCTTGTTGTGATGGGGGCTACGTTCAACTTCTTTCGCACCGTACGTAGCCGCCCGTGCTAAATCCCATGGCTTAAAAAAAAAATTTGTCTTTACGATCAGAGGAAACAAGAAGATCAACCCCATACGGTTTACCCGTTATTCCTGTCCAGGGAAATTGAGTTTCAATTCGGGCAATTTTTTCTAGATTTGAAGCTTTCGTGACTGCAAGGATTCATATTCTTAGGTTTTTTCGGTAAAGTCACGTAGGTAAAACATAAAAATTAATAAAAATAAAATAAAGATCACGACGTTTCGGAGGCAACACACCTGATGACGGAGACTTGTGTTGCCTCCGAAACGTCGTGATCTTTATTTTATTTTTTATTAATTTTGATGTTTTACCTACGTGACTTTACCGAAAAAACCTAAGAATATCGGGCAATTTTCTGTTGTGTATTTGTGTTTCTACCTTGTGATGAGATCTTCCAGGATGAACGTTGAGATTTATAAGGGCACGGGGCGACCAATAAGGTCTGAAATGGTCTGTAGTGAGGTAGGCACTGATAATCGGAGGTGCATGGGGAAGGACAACAAACTAAACACAACAACAATCATTTATAAAGAGTCTTCAATCTGGACGATTTAAAAAAAAGTGAAAAGCTCCCAGTGGATTCCTAATATCGGAAGAACGTTCCAGACGGCCGCAGGAGCAGCGCCATCTAAAAACGCGAGATGGGGATAGGGCTTCATTGAGGATCAAGGATTTTGTTTTTTTATTCTCAAGAGGGTCCTGCCAAATCTTTGTCGATGTTGCTGCTTCTGCTGAGTGTGATCCCAGTGGTGGTACATGTTGTTTGTCGTTTATTGTGAAAATTCGGTCACACTTCCTATGATCACTGTTACATTGCTTTGATGGCTTTATTTTGGTGATTTCGATAAAAGTTTTCTGGTTTGGCCATGTTTGTTTGTTGTAGTACGGAGTTAGACTGATGGCCTTAATCTAAGTTGTCTTGTGGTTGTTGTTGTTTTGGCTCAGTCCGGTGCTTTTTCTCAAATTTTTAGCTGTCTTTTCTTGGATTTTTTGTTTGCACATAGTCACTTTAAGATGTTTTCTTGTTCATGTTTTTGTTTGTTGCGGTTGCACCCGATTAAAGAGCCGAATGGCTCACAGGGCTATACCAAATACATGAAACTGAAAGGATGTCTGTGTGTCCCGCGTGTGACGTCACTCCACGTCGGCCAGCCCCCCTCATTAATAATCATGAGCAGGTGACCTCTTCCAAATGGACAACCCCCCCCCCCCCACTTAATATTAATTAGCAGGTGACGTCACTACACATGGGGGGGGGGGGCAAGGCGCCTCCTCCCCCCTCCTCGGCGTCAACTTACAACCCTCACTACAAAGGCAGAACCCTCGTCATGATGAACAAGGGATAATGACCTTTAAATTAAATAGGTCTGTGTCACCGCGCCCGTACAAATTGCACACGAATTGATGCAATGAATATCACGTCGCGGTCTGCTTTTCTCGAGCAAGTTTCAGATTTACTGAAATACACCCGTCCTTGGACGGGCAAAAGGCGAGTTTGCAGAGATTTCAACATTGGGATGGTTGCATACCTATCAACCCCTTGTCAGTATCTACCTTATTACAGACCAATTCAGACCTTATTGGTCACCCCGTGCCCTTATAAATAGCAACGTTCATCCTACAGAGTCCCATCACAAGGGAGAAACACACAAAGATATTTTTAAAATGTTGTTGCCTGCATTGATATGGACCTAAAAACTAAACTCCCGGTACCCCGATGAACCGTATGGGTTGACAGGTATGTGGTTGGCTCATAGCCGTTAATATTGCGTGAAAAATAACTCGCATTCATGAGTTACACTGAGACCTTTTTTTAAAAAAAGGCAACGTTTCGGGCAGTGGCCCTTCAAAAGCACACGTTACATTGTTATAGCGCCAGTATACACAACTTCCTGGAGACACACAAACGAGGCTCAGGTTCTGCAAGTGTGTTGTATTTGCCCATACATCGCCCTGTCCCTAGACTTTGCAAATCAGAATCAGTAGATTGGGGAATCCGAAGAGCTACTGAGCTCTTTGTCACACATGTCCAGTAGGGGCGGGTCAGAAAGTTACAACAACAACAATACAACATCCATGACAGGAGTGCAAAGTATAGGAAAAGTAAAGCAAGTCACTCAAATGTGGCCCGGTCATGGGTGGAAAAAACCCGATTTTTCCAGCTGCAGGCATCGGGTTTTCTTTTATTAGAACCAGTTAAACCGAATTTCTCCCAATCTCAGATGATCGGGTTTAATATGAAAGACAATTAAACCCGATTGTAAAAAAAAACCCGACTGTGCCACCCTTGGCTCGGTCCCACTCCGCATCCAACTCGCAGAAACTGGATGAACTTGTCGACAGCTTTGTGCTCGAGGCCTGTGATGTGCAATCCAGTCGTCTACCACAGGGGTCGGGAACCTTTTTGACTGGGAGAGCCGTAAAAGCCAAATATTTCTAAATATATTTAAATGAGAGCCATATAGTATTTTTTACGTATAATAAATTAAATGTCTTACTTTTAATGCGACTTCTGGTCACGGGACCCGTGACCCGAGAAATTTTATCTTTAAAACTAATTTCTGTTTACTTTAAAATGACACAGTATTATTAAGCAATATCACAAGTATTTTAAAATCAGTTCCAAACATGATTTTTTTATTTTTTTATTCTTTTTTTCAACTCAAAATTGTCTGGGAGCCATATGCCGTCACCGGAAGAGCCATATATGGCTCGCGAGCCATAGGTTCCCGACCGCTGGTCTACCGTATACACGGGATCACTGGCGCATGCGATGGAAATGTCAGCGTTATGTTTGTTTCTTATGCACTCCCCAGGTGTCAACAGCGCAAGAGGCTTCCCCCCACACACGGAGGGGCATTGAAAGTTGCGACGTTCACATCACGCGTGGTTATTTTCACAGTGTTCGTTTCAAGCCAAATCTGCCAAAACTTTTGACGTGTCCATTTGCTGCCTGTGCGTTGGTTCGCTCGTGCTTGCCCACTTAAATGCGCTTACAATGAGCCCTTTAGCGAACAAGGTGAGCCTGCTGGCTCTTAATGTAATGATAGCTCTAGCCACCCAGTGGCATCGCTCAGAATCCGCTCAATTAAAGAGTGCGCGTAGAACAAATAGAACACGTCAAGGTGCAGCCCCTGGAACGTCATGCTCTTGGCATTGCTGGCGGAACAGCCTCGAGTGAGAGAGAGCTCACGAGAGGCTCACTGGAGGGTATTTGGCCTATCCTTCCACGCTGGCCAGATGACGTCTGGAAGGGGAGTGTGTGGCCGCCGCACTAACCCTGCTGCTGATCGGCTGCGATCTGTTTCGTTCCACCGCTAAATGGAATCTTAAATCATGCCGCAAGTTTGTGTGCGTGCGGACGACCTGGCCCTGGTGACACAAGGCCACAGTTTTGGTGAGGTGGAGGCCACTCTCTCAGCATCACCGAGGCTGTGGGTGCTTTGTGTAGGAGGCCACTCTCAACTCTTGACCTCCACATCATCGTGGAGTACTTTCAAAAGTGGTGAATACAAGGAAATTATCTTCCGCGGGACACGATGGGCACCGGCAACCTTAGATAGATCGTTTATTGTCATTGTCACCAGTACAACGAAATTTACAATGCTCACCAGTCAGGGCATCATTCATAAATTTAAATTAAATAAAACCTCATCGTGTCCGCACAAACTATGGAAGGTGGGATACTTATCTACGTGACTTTACCGAAAACACCTAAGAGTATGAATCCTTGCAGTCACGAAAGCTTCAAATCTAGAGTCCATCTCTTCTCCTCCGGCCCGTGTAAACTGCTCGGGCATGCGGATTAGGCGACCCAGCCAACGCAGCCTGCCAGGAGCTCACCACCGATGGGACTGCGTCCAGATCTTTCAAGAATTTGTGAGCTCCTCGCACAAATTCTAGATTTGAAGCTTTCGTGACTGCAAGGATTCATACTCTCAGGTTTTTTCGGTAAAGTCACGTAGGTAAAATTGTTTTATCAATAAAGGTAATAATATAAATAAAATAATAAATCACGACGTTTCGGAGGCAACACAAGTCTCCGTCATCAGGTGGGACCGTCACAGCCAGATTTACTGTATCAAGTGAGGCAAAAATTCCAAGATACAAGCTCTTAAATACAAGTTGAGGGGGGGGGGGAGGGGCTTATCTGAATGTGGTAGCCAATGAATGGAACGTATTAAACCCAGGATGGATCTCGGGCATGCCAGCCTGAATGTTTCTAACCGGCGAAGATGTTCCATTAGACGGGAATGGGAGTGGAGGGGGGGGTCCACGTGTCAAAAGCATTGAGAAGGGAGGGCATGGCCGTGGCCGTGAATCTCTCGAAGCTTCGTGCGGAGCGAATGACACCAGGTTCACTTCCACACAGCCGACTAAAAACATAAACACCGCCCGGCTGACTCGGGGGAGTGAGACCTCTGCTGTCAAACCGGAGCTGGTCCATTAAAGCCATGCACGGCAATACATCGGGAGAGCCGCAACACGACCCGACCCAACAACCATCAATCCGATCACGGGTCAATGAAATGGAATCGTTACACAAATCGATTTCATAGCAGAGTGCGGAATCGAGAGAGGGAGCGGAAGGTGAATGAATGTGGGGGGGGGGCATCGAATCGTTACGATTCGATTCTCCGAGTCGATTAGCCGGATCGCGCGCGTCGTCAAGGCACGCACGACGCTTGGCCCGCGTTGATTGGCTGACGCCGAGTACAACATTCCGACTCGGGCCTCAAATACCGCCAGCCCCGCCCCGATTGGTTCGTTTCGCTTCACGTGACTGTCACCTCGAGTCGCACGCGCACTCACGCGATTGGGCGAGCCATAACACGCCCCCCCCCCCATCACCCTGGCGCGTCACGTGATGACGTTGAGGCCCAATCGCGCCTCACGGGGTGCGAGCCGCGGGTCACGTGCTGCACTGCGGGAGCCGCGCCGCCATGTTGGGTAGGGGAGAGGGGCCGCGTGACGTCACCCACCACGACGCGTCTGCACGTTGTGTACAGTGCACATTTGGTGGGCAGAGCGGCGCTAAAGCGCAACAGCAACAACCAACAAGACACACAACACGGTCGCCCATAACGCCGTGACCTTACACAGGAAGCGAGAGGTGACGTTTCGGGTAATGGGTCAGTTTAATGGGTGTTACCCCTTGATGGTGCATTGAAGGGCCATTGTCCGAAACGTCGCAAAAATATTTGTTTTTTTGTGTTCTCCCTTCATGGAAACGAAGCTATTAGTGCACATTTTCAGCTTTCCCCTCCGACACCCTCCCGCCCCCCATTGTAATGATCGGAGGCAGCTGCACCCCCACCCCTTACCAACATGGCGTCTCTGGGCTCAGCGGGCGTGGTGGGGTGGGGAGTCGTGAGGGCGGGGGGTGACGAGGGTGGGGGCGGGGGGGACGAGGGTGGGGGCGGGGGGGACGAGGGTGGGGGCGGGGGGGACGAGGGTGGGGGCGGGAGAGACGAGGGTGGGGGCGGGGGGAGCGAGGGTGGGGGCGGGGGGGGACGAGGGTGGGGGCGGGGGGGACGAGGGTGGGGGCGGGGGACGAGGGTGGGGGCGGGGGGGACGAGGGTGGGGGCGGGGGGACGAGGGTGGGGGCGGGGGACGAGGGTGGGGGCGGGGGACGAGGGTGGGGGCGGGGGGACGAGGGTGGGGGCGGGGGGGGGGTGACGTGGCCGCGCCGCCGCCATATTGCGGATGCAGCAGCGAGCGGGAGCGAGGACGCGGGCGGTGCAGCGATTTAGCATCAGAGAGCAGCGTCCTCGGCGATAGTAATTACAGCAGCAGCAGTAGCAACAACAGTAGCAGCTATTAGCGATCCGAGCGGCAACTACCCGCTTCGCTCGGCGTGAGAGTGAGAGTAGCCGCCCCCCCTGCAATCGTTGACGGCCGCGAGGAGCGCGCCATGAGGACGTCGCCCCCCCTCGCGCCGGCGCTGGCGCTGCTGCTGCTGCCGCTGCTGTGCGGCCTCGGAGAGGCGGACGAGCACGACCACGAGGCGAGATGGGGGGCCAGGGGGGCGAGAGAGGGTGGTTGATGATGAGGAGAGGGGGGGGCAGCGTGGGGCACTCTTCTGTGTGACAGGGGGGTAGTGAGAGTGGCCCCGTGTCTCTCTCGCAGACGGCAGCTTGCAGCTCGTGGGGAGTGTCTCGCCATGGCTCTCTGTGTGTCTCTCTGTGTCTCTCATCTCGGCCCTCTGTGTGTGTCTCTCATCTCGGGCCTCTGTGTGTCTCATCGTGTCTCTCTGTGTGTCTCTCATCTCGGCCCTCTGTGTGTCTCTCTGTGTCTCTGTGTGTCTCTCATCTCGGCCCTCTGTGTGTCTCATCGTGTCTCTCTGTGTGTGTCTCATCTCGGCCCTCTGTGTGTCTCTCTGTGTCTCTCATCTCGGCCCTCTGTGTGTCTCATCGTGTCTCTCTGTGTGTCTCTCATCTCGGCCCTCTGTGTGTCTCATCGTGTCTCTCTGTGTGTCTCTCATCTCGGCCCTCTGTGTGTGTCTCTCTCTCTGTGTCTCTCATCTCGGCCCTCTGTGTGTCTCATCGTGTCTCTCTGTGTCTCTCTCATCGTGTCGGCCCTCTCTGTCTTTCTCATCGTGTGTCACATTTACGACAGCACGTACGCGTCTCAATGCGAGCTCACTTTCACTGTGTCGCCAGCCCCTGGCGTCCTCTCTCGGTGTGTCGATGTCTTTCTCGTCGACCGATTCTCCTGGATCCCCCAGGATCTGAAGCAATGTGTCTCGTCGTGCTTGTCTCCGTGCGTCGCAGTGTCTCCGAAGGAACTGTCTTCACTGGCTCGTACCTTCTCGCGTTGTTCTTATAGCTGTATGCTTTTGTTTCAACTGCGTTCTATCTGTTTTAACTTGTGTCGTCTCTACCCGCCTGACTACACCCGCCTGTGTCTCGTGTCTCCCTGCGACATGTACTACTTGCCTGGTCTCTCGCCCCGAGCCGTGTCCCGTATCTTCTCCACGTGTCTCTCTGCCATTGTCCCCTCCTCTTGCTTCCTGTGTCACTCACTCACTGCCCCTGGCTCTGTGTGGTTCTCCCTGTGCGTGCCTCATTGTCCCCTTCTCACCTCTTTGCTCGTGTGGCTCTGTTTATTCCCTCTCTCATTTGGTCAACTATCCAACCGGGAGGGTGGATTAAGTGCATTAACCTTACCATGTCGATAAAGTAAATAACAGTGGCGGCACAGTCAACAGCGGATGTCCTTTGGGAAGATTAGACACCGCCATGGGAATGTGGAATGTGTGTACACCCAAGGTCTCAGGGCCACCAACGGAGAAGAGGAACATTCCCACGTTAACTTTCATTCGAGTTATTGGTGGAGGGGAGGCTTGGGGGGGGGGGACGAGTTTGCTGTGTACTCTTAGCTCGTCCGTGCACGTGTGCAGCAGGTACAGGTGTGCGATCCGCCAGAGAGAACTCCACGTTGTCACAAGCGGTTTGTGGTGTTGGTGAGGGGTTAGTCGAGGGCTGATTCAGACATCGCACTTGTATAGCTGACCGCGAATCGAATTCATAAAACTTTGTGTGCATACAGTGCTGCATGTGTGTAACGTACACGCCGGTGCAATCGTCTGCATGCAGTGCACGTGTGTTTAGAATGTATTTAAATTTCAGCAATACAGTATATACAAAATGCATATGGCACGTTTGATTAGAATTAACAGCATCGGTGAAGTCTTGTCACAGCATATGTATTGCATGTGCCATAGTTAATCGTCAGCATTTGTACATTAATACTGCTTGTGTGTGTGTGTTAGAGAGAGAGAACCTGTGTAAACCGGGCCTGGTGGTCTGTGCCTTGCCAAGCAGTCCCTGCAAACACGTCCTGTAGTAGAACGCCCGTGGCGGGTGCCGTTCGAACGACCACTCCTTTCAACTCCCGACTGAAACGTGTAACAAAGCACAGGTCATGTGGCTTGGTGTGCTTTCAGCTTGGCCCTGCCCTGCATTCATAGACGCTGGCCCACATCACTCGCCTTGGGGTTAGAGGGAGGTTCCTGTACGCACTCACGTTACTGTACAGTGTGGGCAGTGCAATAATAATGTGCAATATATAAATGCATAAATTATTTATGCGAATTGACATTTGTGTTTGGGCTGTGTTTGTGTATCGGCATGCATTGCTTAATGGGATGCAACTGCAAGTTCTGCAGGAATTACTACTCGGGTGACTACTATTATACAGATCTCCATTTTATTAATAAAATAAACATTTGGGGCTTATTTGTACGTGTGTCGTGTAAGCGTGTGTGTGCTGAGAGTGCGAATAGGTGTTTTTTTCTCGAGTATATTTGTTATAATTTATATTTACTACATTGTTATACTTGGTTTAAAATGTTATGGCGTTGGCATTTTGCTTATTTAGGTCACTTGCAATAGAGACTATCCTTATCTCCTTTTGAGTTCCCACTTGGTAAAAAAATTGGGGGTGTTTAGCAAAACTAAATTGTACTATTTTGAATGTTGCCTGTATGGCATCCGATGTATACAGCTTGTAATAAAAACATGTCGTGGTTACTGGACTGCAAATAGATCATGGCTCCTCCTTTGCAAAATGGAGTAAGGACATTGGTCTTATGAAGTCCTTTTTTCGCACTTGTAAGTAGCAATAATTTGCTCCGAGTCATTGTGTGTACATATTGGCTGGCAACGACCATTGGTTGAAGTTTGGGCTTGTCGTTGAAAACCATTGATACATGCCACACATTCTTTAAAACTATAAAAAAAACTATGCTATTTTTATTTTCCCACGTAAGGCCCATTGAGATATATATAGTTCTTTTAGAAGCGACCTAGCCATAAATGATAGCTCAATTAAAGTGGCTTATCACGTGGACATTTATAGCAGGAGCCAAATACTCTTAAACGGATAGTTCAGGCTGCCCATGTGAATATTAACACTTGTCACCAGCTCGAGTAACACTAACGATTGTGACATTGGGTGCAATTTGTACGCTTGGTCACGAGGAGTCTGGTTTCTGGCAGATCATTGCTCCATAATAGAGTTTTTTTGGGTTTGCTCTTAGTGTTTCAGTTTTTTTTGCTCAGCACACCTGTCGTAACCACGCCAAGTTTGGAGCAGTGGTGTGGGATTGTTAATGATTGAAACACAGTTGAACAAGCAAGACCAAGGTTATCTGGGCAGTTTGATGGGTGTCTGTGTGAGTAATTTGGAATGTGAAACAATCTATTCGGGTACAGAAGTAAAAGAGTCGAGCCACACATACATCCCTCGTTCAGTTTTCACTGTTTAAGACTCACTCGCCCTATAATTACTTCGTAGTGTTTATGCACACAAATCTCCTGTCATCACCACAAGGTAACAGTGCTTCTCATGGAAATGCAAGCCGACTTTTGCCAACATGGGCCAGCCATTCACATAATGGCAAGCCGGGAGCTAATGTGGGTAGGCAACGATGTCACAAATGAGACGAGCAGTGTGCACGCCAACTCGCAAATATTTAGTTTCCGATTAAGGGATCTCAGACCATTGCACAATTCCGTAAGTGGGTGTGTATGTCGAGATCTTTTTAGACGTCATTGTCTTCCTGTGCAAGTGTTGGGTAGTACTCAACTTTGTTACCAGCTGGTGGTACTAGTGGTGGAAATTCTGCATTCTCAGTCCTGTGGATTTTCCCACAAACTGGGTTCTTTTTTATGGACTGTCTCAGGTCGATTTGAATAGTTGACCACCATCAACGCTTTGATATGCAACCTTCTGATCGTTGGTCGAGTGGCACCTGCCAAACTTTACCTCCCAAACTGTTGATGTCACCGTGATAAAATATTGAGTGGATAGGTATACATACTGAAACACTGATGAATGCTTGCGTATGTTAAGCATGCCCGCGAATATATGAATTGCACTTCTTTTGTAACATGGTGAGGTGTAATCTTTCAGGCTTAGCAGGCCTCTGTAAATAGACTGTGTAATTGATCTCCGTGTGCGTTGTTTGCTTTACTTGGGGCTAGATAGAACTGCTTTGTGTTTTATATGCATCAGTGTTGCACACATGTTCGGCATAATTGTTTTAGATTTTTTAATTTTCTTACAAGAAATCACTTGCCAACTTGCATTGCAGCTCAAGGGCTCTGCTCACAATCAGAAGGCTGTAAGTTCAACTCCCAGTTGGGACCAACTCAGTCCATCGTCTGTCCCATGCTCAATATAATGAATTTCACTTCGTGCAAAGCCAAAATTGTGACCTTCCTATAAGAAATTGACCCCCCTATGAGAGATGAACCCCTACCATGGAAATTGGCATTTTTCAATGCCATAGTGGAGAATGTACGAATGCAGCACTGCCTTGGGTAGCTGCTCACAGGTGTTTGGACACAATCCTTAGTCCCGGGCGTTTTTAACATATGTACAAGCCAATGTCATTTCCCACCACTCTCCATGCTCTAACCTTTAATCCTGAAAGTGCATTTAGTGAATTGGCAACTTGGAGCCGTTCCCAAATTCCATCGGTTAAATCCTGAGTATTACATGCAGACATTTGTTCTGTCGGTGGTAGTTCAGTTTTTTTTATCTTTCCAGACACTACAATGCACTGGAACTCTGTTGGGCACATTTGACCAGAAGTTAAAGTGTCTCCCTGCATTAATGAGCATGGGGTGGTGCTCATTTCCATTGATGGTCCAGAGCTAGTTCTGAAAATTAATATTGTGCTATGGAGACACTGGTAGGAGTCGGTGTCTCGAGAGGACAAACACTTGACTTTCACCAAGTGGTGAACATTTTATTTGACCATCGATGGGATTATTGGCTTTGTCAACCCCACACCACCGGGGATTTGACCTCAAGACCTTCCAATTGTGGATTTAACGTTCTGCCACAGTGCCACATGGCGGTATATAACCACATGCAGCACGTTTCAGCTTCTGAAAATGTATTGTTTGAGGGCAAGCATATTTACCTTTCATAGCATTAAAAATATTTACAAATAAGAACATGGCACGCTTCAATGAAGGAATATGACTCCCAGAATAATTCATGTATTTTATAATGGTCATGAGCTAGAAAGGGTGGTTGCTCATAATTTGACTGAACAGACCTCTTGGGTGGTCACTGCTAATTGTAGTCATGCCAACCTGAAGATTTGTGGCAGCATTATTTTCAAAATTTTACTCAACTTATGATACCTCGACAAAGCATGAAAGGTGCCTCCCTTCCTCATGCACCTGGAATCTGAAACATTTTGTCAATTTTTAGTAATTCAGTAAAAAAATGTTGTTACTATTGAGTTATTAAAAGTGCAGATTTGCAGATATGCTGCTTTACCTTGGCAAATAAAGAATTCTGGAGCATTGCTCATGATGGATAGTAGGAATGTCACAGCGAGATAAAGTAATCGACGAAGAAGTTCAGAATAGAATATGGCAGATCTTGGCTGCATATTCATGAGATATTGGATAACCTCGTGATCAGTGCTTTAACCGTCAGTGCCAAGTGAAATAGTTTTATTGGGTCAAATCATGTGGTTACGCTCTACGGCATTGTCAATGCCCACCACCCGCTTTCAATTTGATGTTAAGATCCTGTGGCTGTATTTGCAAGAGTATGACCTACTGTGTTGTGTAAATTTTAATTTAGTCGATTTTGTTAAGATGTTGCTTAATGGAGGACGGGTCTGTTGTTGGCATACCCACAGCAACAATACGATGTTGATGACAATTGAGGGAAAAAATAAGCATGTTTTAATTTTAAAGCACTTGCAGTCATCACTCGTATATAATGCTGGTGTCTTTTGGCATGCCGTAGATATGACAAATGCTGGAGGGAGCTTTCTCTAACAAGGACCAAACGTTTCACCATTTCAGTGATGAGAACATGAATTTCAGAATTTACTGTATATGTTCAGTAAAATTTTAAGACGTAGCTCATTCGGTAATGGGACCTGCCCTGTCATGGTAATGACAAATGAGCCAGCACTGTTGAGGTCCTTGGTTTGAGTCCCAGATTCCCACCCGAGAGTAACTTTGAATTCTATTATATCCGGCCACAGCTGAATCTTAGGATTATCCAAAGTTATTCACCTTGCCTTCACTTTCATTTGAAGGTTGCATCCCAGGTGGGGTACAGTTTGGTCAATTATCCCTTAAGGATCACTTAATGGGAAGTCAGCATTTTTTGTCCTACAAAGACACTGGTTTCCACCATAGGAATGTGGAATTTCACCACTGGCTCAAGACTTGTCTCATGCTGGTTTGAGTAGAAGATGCTTTGGTTTGCATCATCTATGGCTTGAATGGTGTACTTTGTTTAGTCACTTTACTGCAAGATATGTATGCTTGTTTGACCGATTAGGCACAAAGAGAATCACTCATTTGTACAGCTGCAAAAAAGGGAGTTTGGAGGTTGTGTGTAGAATAGACTTTTGAAGGACATCAGACGAAGGCTTGTGCCATCATTACCAGGTGGCTCTGCCATGTAACATGTGGTTCTGCTGCTGAAGGGGTGTGTGATGGGGGGAATGCTTCACTGCTAGCCTGGTTGCCTGTGGCACAATGATGACAGTCATTTTTTTAAATGCAAGCAAAAAAACGAGCAGAAGAAGAAAAGTCAAGAGGGCTGGGAGTAATCTGTGTGAACCAGTTGGAATGTGGTTGGAGGTTTAATGTGACTGACAATTGGAGGTGGAATGTGGCTACCAGAGAGATTTTGTTTTAAAGCTACATGCCTTTGTGTGTCACCTCCACTATAGAGAACTTTGTATATTTGTGTATAAACCATTGAGACGTATGTCAATATTGGTCTTCAGGAGTGGGAGTAATTAACATATAAATGCACGTCTGGGGGACTTGACTCAAAGCATCAATGTAACTATACAAACTGCTTCGTGTCTACTTCTGTACATAAATGCTCTTATACAATTTTATTGTATGAGACAGAAAGCAACTTGTAAGTTCAAACTTGAACATGGTATACAGTATCTGGTGTAATCAAGAAGAGGTTATAGTAGATGGGAAACCTACAGAATGGAGCAGGTTACTGAGAGGCATTTTAGTCAACACGCAGAGTTTGGCTTCCAAGAGAAGTCTGATGGTGAGATATTGTAAGTGGACCTCGAAAGGCGTGTTCACTTTCTGCAAATAAAAAACCTGAAAACACATGGTGGGATCCTGTAAAAGTTGAACCTGGAGGGTAGGTCTCAACAGTAAAACACTTACAGAATGTATCAGGGAAGGAACCAATGGCAAGAAGCTGTCATATCAATAGCAGTGACAAGATGCTTTTGTCTCAGCCACTTTTTTCTTTGTATGCGAGCTGGTTTGGGAGCAGTTGGTTTGCCCCTAGTCTTCGCTCACATGTCCTGCCCTGTGCCGCTCACTTTGCAGTACAAGGATGGCGATGAGGTGGTGCTGTGGATGAACACCGTGGGGCCGTACCACAACCGGCAGGAGACCTACAAGTACTTCTCCCTGCCGTTCTGCGTCGGCAACAAGAAGAGCATAAGCCACTACCATGAAACACTCGGAGAGGCCCTGCAGGGCACGGAGCTCGAGTTCAGTGGTCTCGACATCAAGTTCAAAGGTGAGCTATCACCTGCCTTGGTTGTCACAAACGGGCCACCGCAATGTAGTAACAATAGCATCAATGCAACATAACCAGTCAATTCAACCCCACTTGTGTGATAAACCTCAATTTCGATACATATATAACACGTTTACCGCATTTACCATACGTGTAAGTAGATATTCCTCATACGCGATGAGTGCCTTTTCCCCCCCAAAGCACACATCCTCTGGTGCATGCCTTTCATTCAGCTCTTTGGAGGCCAGATCTGGTCATGCACACAGATGTGAATAACCCATTGGCTGCAAGGTGGCCAGGGGATGGCAGTAAAGTAAAACTGTTTGTGAATCACTCTTGGTGGAGCTTTGATTGTTTACGCGTTTTCTCCAGGTACTCTAGTTTCCTCCCATATGCTAAATACTCGATGCTGTACTTGGCCAAACATTGCAATGCAGGACCCTCCTGAAAACATCTTGAAGTGCAGTAAAGCTTTACTAGATACAAGGAATGATGAAAGTTCTTAATATTATGTTGGATTTTTTTCCCATCGTACGTAGCTAACTGTGCTTATCGGTTTGCTACATACGTTGCACATTTGCTTGAGGTACTCGGCCACGTGAACGTACAGCGAGGAGATGGAGCGATTATACCTGCTCGTGTGCAGGTGCTCAGGTGGATTACTACGCCACAGGATTGTGAGCAATATTCATGGCTTGGGGAGGCCTCAATCCAGCAGTGTATTGACCATAGCGAATGATGATGAATAAGAAAACAGTTTTAATTTTGACCCGCCTGATTACTTTATCAGAGTACCTTGAGAGAACCCATATATAAATAAATTGACTTTCTGCACGGCCCAATGCATGATGATAGATGCATGGTCCACCCACCCTGCTTGCAGAGAGCACAGTAAGATGTTAGCCATCTTTTCTAACACACTGCAAAAACGTTACACACTCTGGCCCATATTCATGTGCTTTGTTAAATGGCTTTCCTGACAACTTTGTTGGATGAACGGCCAAATCGGCAATAAAGAGTGATTTGGCAGTTTTATTTTGGGAATTATTTGTGTAAAGTAAAGTTGCTGGCAAGTATTCAAACATCACATGAAATGAGTCCAAGTTGGGAATAAAGAAAAAGCTATTTTGTTGATACAGAACCATAAAAGTAAAATATAGACTAACAAACACATCTTTCTGGCCACATTCTCAGTACTACATATATATTTTTATTGAACTCGATGAAATATGCCTCGCTTCAAGAGACATGTTTTCCTAAGCAAATTTGTAGACCATCCAAAAGTGCCTATCTATTAAAATAAGCATTGGCTTTTCCTCATCCCCTCTGATAGCCTTGAGCCTAATAGTAGAAATTAAATTTTCACCTGCATATGCGCAGGGTAGAAAGTAAATGTAAGTTGTTGTAGTAGCCTTGTAAGCAGCATGCCTGCCACTGATACACTTAATAAATCCATGGTTTGGATTGCCACAGCAGATAATTCCCACAAAGCGTTGCTACCCTGCGCGTGCCTGCTCCTGTGAAGTGGGCCGTAAAGACTTGGTGATATTCTCAAGAGCGGACTGTTGTGTGTTAATCTCGAAATAATAATTTATCTGCAGCCACTGATTTTTTTTACTCTTTGTTAGACCAAACTCATTTGGAAGGTCTGAAATTCAAATCCACTCAACCCAACATCCCTATGGGGTGAAGAAAATGAATACCTCTGGGAAATGTTAGTTGTTTACCTATGGAGAGATTGGTCTCTTGCATAACAAGGTGTGAGGGCACATTCCTGCATCTCGGATTAGCACGGTTGGCTACATATGGTGCGAAAGAAGTGAAACCTACTACTGTCTCATCTGCTGATGGAGATGAGCATGCACGATTGCTTTATGCTAATTTGAGCACAAATACTCTTGGATTTTTGATGGAACTAAAGGCATCTGGGGCTTCCTTGAAAAATAGATTATGCATCACCAAGTGTCCTGACCAAGTACAGTAAAATCAATTGTATACAAAACTCATTCGACAAGTTTGATCTAGCACGATACATTGATTGTATTGGTACATATTTTCCCAATCTCAAATTCATAAGTCATCCCCAGACTCATGAAAGTAAGCCTGGCTTTTATTCTGTTTGCATAAATTGACTACATTCAAAGTGCAGTTATCTTATATTTATATAGTGCTTTTCCAAGGATTTTTACAATGGTTATGAGTGGTACAATTAGGGTAACTAAAAGTGATATGGTGAAAATGGATGGGGTATAGGGAGGGCGGTTAGTGGGTACTGTAATTACAGAGGTGCCTTCTGAATGCAGGGAAGGGATGGGCCAGGGAAAAGAGATGTGGGTCTTGAGGGAGGAGTGGAAACTAGACGGGGGGAGCGTGCTCTCTTAATGTGGAGGGGAAGTTTGTTCCAGTGCAAGGGGGCAAGTAGGGAAAAGGAGTTGAAACGGGATTATGCACAAGGAGAGGGGGGAACAATTAGGAGTATGAGAGATTGAGAGCGGAGCTGGCGGGAGGGGACATAAAACGAGACGAGGGGAGCGAGGTAAGATGGAGCAAGGCCATGCAGAGATTTAAATACCAGTTCAAGGAGCTTGAATAGATACCGGTAGTAGATGAGGAGCCAGTGCATTTCTATAAGAAGGGCGGAGGGGCAGCAGCAGTGTGGTAGGTTGTCAATGAAACGTGCAGATGCATTTTGGTTCTGTTGTAGTGGAATTAATGCATTTGCTGGGAGACCGAGTAGGAGAGAGTTACAGTAGTCTAACCCGAGGGAAGATTAGTGAGTATTAGTACTTTGGCGGTGGACTGAGTGAGGAGAGTGTGTAATTTGCTAACACTGACAAGGTGGAAACGACATGTGCGGGTGATGGCGGAGATGTGAGAGGCGAGGGAAGAGGAGGAGAAAGAGGACACCAAGGTTGTGGGCAGAGGAGGGGACAGGGGTGAGAAGGGTGGGAAGGTTGGGGGTGGGTGGAGCGGAAAGAGCAGCGGGGAAAAAGAAAACCTGGATTTTAGAGCGGTTGATAGCAAGGAAGTGAAGTGACATCCAAGACTGGAGAGCCGTTCGGCAGGCTGAAATGCGAGAAGAGAGGTGCGGAGTGAAAGTAGAGAAAGAGAAGAATATTTGGATGTCGTCGGCGAAGAAGTGGTGGGAGACGTTAAAGGAGAAGATAAGTGTTTTTCGAGATGGGAGATGTAGAGAGAGAAGAGAAGGGGGGGGGGGCTCAGGACAGAGCCTTGGGGAACACCTGCTGTGACGGGTGAAGGAGGGGTACAGGAGTGATTGAAGGAGACCGAAGATGAGCGTGAAGAGATGTATAACTGGAGCCAGGATAAAGTGGTGCCGGAAATGCCCAGATTAGAGAGAGTAGAGAGAAGAGTGGGATCATCGACATTGTCAAAAGCCGGGGAAAGGTCGAGGAGAATGAGGACTGAGGAGAGACGTGCTTTGGGCGAGTTTGGTCAGGTGGTTCTGGATGGTCATGAGTGCAGTTTCTGTGGAGTGACATTTGAACTCCACATGGTGTCGTGTAGGTTTTTGCAATTGCGGGATTTGGGCAAGTGCTCTTTCTTATAAAGAAAATCTAGGTACACTAATTCCCAAATACATTGTCACTTTATTAACACCACGACCTGATTTGCAACGCATCAGTCCATACTTACATCGCTGACAGCGTCCATCCTTTATCGTACCCGTCACCTCCGCCTCCCCTGTAAATTGCTTTGATTTACATGGTTTCAACATTCGTCGCACATTTCAGGAATGGGCTATTACTGTACAAGTATAACCCCAGGTGAAAACGTTGTGGATTGGCTCTGCACAGTCAGCGAATCTGTCTCAGAAAGTATCTCCTTTTAGTTTGATGCAATGTTTAAAATCACCGCGTATCAGGTGAGCAATTTTAAAAGTGAATTCTCGTGTCCGAAGGTGATGATGCTTGTTTGGCAGCTGTCTTTTAATAACGGTTTGCATTGCTGAACATTTTAACATCCTAATTTTTTTTATCTTACCTTTTCCACTGAGTGGCACATGTGCATATGTGAACATGTCTTGTGCTTCACTTATTTCTGCTCTCCCTGAGATGGGTAGCTGTTGTGCAGTGGAGTGGTGTACATCAGCACAGGGGAGACAAAGCCAACTGGGTGTACATGGTTTTGTCTACCTCTTCATGTACCTTTGCCAGCCTTTATAGGTACTCGCTGATACTTTCTAGAGCAGACTACTCAGGCTGAAATGGAGCGCCTGGTGTGTGTTTGTGTTTTAACCTTATGCTGTCTTACCCCAGTTGCCACCACGTGTAATCATGGAAAGCATGGGTTAATGTTGACAAAGGTACTTTAAAACACGGCTACCATGTGAGTAGATTGCGTACTGGCGACTACTAATATGACCGATAAAAGGTCTACCCTATAGCCTGCTGGGTGGCTCAGAGCAGTGGGGGCATGTGCAAGATGCACTACCGAGTGTGGACAAAAGACAATTGAAGATGCTTCAGAAGTATTTCAGAGGCCACTCCAACGTGGTGTGATGTTGTACTGCATTCCGTAATAGCTCTGGATATAAGTTTTTCATTTGACACTGCCGATAGCACAATTGTAATGTATTTGGAAAGTGAACAGAGAAGGATGTTAAAGAATAACTCACAGGTTATCTCCATTTGTAATTCCCTGCTGCTTGCTAAGAGAAGCATGCACGCATTTAATTCATTACGGACAATATAGTATCCAATATGCATCATACCGGCAGCTCTGGTATGACCACCACTGCGTTCAGTTGTTTATGATATTGCTCTTCACTTCTGAAATATTATTGCCTTGGGATTGCATTTATCACCAGGCATTGCTCAATATGGGAAGCACATTATTGAGAGGGGTCATGATTTAGTGTTGTCCCACAGCACTGTGGCGATGGAATGATGGCAGATTCAACTCTTGGTTGGGTGTTGACCCACCCGACCATCCAAAGTCGATAAATTGAGTATCACTATGGGAATTCTAGTGGTTGT